TTTTTTTTTTTTGCATCGCTTACATAAATTTTATCAAACTTTGTGCCAAAAATATGCCCGTCTAAATATATTTATCTTATGGGGCTAACACGTGAGACTACTATCTGAATTCTCTTTCGATATGGAGATTCTCTTCTTCTTCTATCATTTTTACTCTACAATTCAGCGTATTTTGCAACGTAAACCCTACGTTTTACTTTCTCTTCTTTATCTCTTCCTAGTTACAAGTAAACGTCAGCTTAATTACCAAAAATTGTTCGGTATGTTACAAAGTATTCTTTAATCGACACTTCAAATTGATCTTATTATAATTAGACAAGCATTCGCATATATAACAGTGATCGTCCGAGGTATCACTATAAATTCAGTTCCTGGCTCCAAGCACGACTAAACGGTGATGTTTACTTTATCATTTATGATATAAATATACGTGTGGCCTTGGTTTTGTAATTTTGTAATTAACATTGTTTTCTGTACGAAATATTTGAGAAAACAAAAAGAACGTGAAACACCTATATATTACATACCGAAACCAAAACATATCTGTCTAATAATTTTTTCACTTTCAGTACTACTCTTAAATGGCATAGCTTCCTAACGCTATCGTGTCTTCGTAGTTATAAAACAAACATAATCCAAAAAGAAAAAAAAGAAGAACGGACACAAATATCCTACGACGTGTAATTTATCGAATATATATCAATACGCACCAATATATATATATATAGATATATATAGATATATACGTTAAATCATCATTATAAAATAAACACACGCATCAAACGTACAAAAAAAGGAAAAAAAAATGAGATCGATGTTAATATTTTGGAAGATTTTACACTTGGACACAGCGACGTAGCATTTTGTAAGTAAATGTAGACAGACTCTACGATCTACTAAGGATGCTCGGGATGTTGTATGACAAGCTGTATCTGTGTAGGGCTATCTTGAGGTGATTTGAAACTGGTGTGACGGCGTAGGAGACTTCCTATCCCTCGGGAACCCCTCAACGTACCCCCGCCACCGCCAGATCCCTCGGAAGACACTGATCCCGTCCTAAATTAAGGGACACCCCGATATGGTATACACACAACAAACAAACAAGCGCAAGCAGTATCACATACAACATTCGTCCGTGAAAAAGCGAGTATTTTTTTTTTTTGTTTTTGTTTTTAATAAATACACACGAGAGTGTGTTGTACTTGTTCTGTTGCAATGCATCAGACGTCCAATACTAATCTCAAGTAAGCATTCTAAATGAAAGAGTTCAAATGAATGTCACATCTATTCGTACATATCTATTTCTTTGTAGTCTGTTTTTTTTTCTTTTTAGAGACTGTGGTGCACAAGGAGCAGGACATGTAACATACACGTGTAAATAATCTTTCCTTCCACGTAT